TGCAGGCATGAATCGACAAAACAACGGCTTTTCCGTGCCACACCAGACGCTGCGCCTGCCCTGACGCGCCGTGTTGTGGAGCTTACTCGCGAAAAGCTGTTGGCTCGCAACATTGCTGCCGATACCAGTCTGGGTGACGCTGGTGTGACGCACGTGTTGGCACTGCCGGCCAAACGCATCGTGGTGGAGGGAGTTAAGCGCTCAACAGAAGAGCAGATAGCAGCGTCAGCGCAAATGGGCGCAAACTACGCACAGATGGAGGTGCAGGATCAGCCGCCCTACGGTTGGAGTGTTTATCTACGATCGCAATGGTGTCCTTGCAACTACTGCTTCAAGTTCGGGACGTGCGTTCACCTACTGTTTGCTCAACGGGCTTCCGATCGACTTGATGGAGCAGGGAGGCGATTGCTGGTGGATCGCCGAGTAACTGGGAAGCGCAGGAGGGATACGCTCGGAGGAGGGCCTCGTCTAATCGGTCCAGCGCTGTCGTTGGAGTGAAGTAGTGTGTCCGGCACTTGCATGCGGCTCTACATCAACTCGTAAACGCCTGTAGTGTACTTATAATACGTGGAGGGGGACAGTATATATGAGTACTTAGTTTCGAATACGTTTGCGAGTCCAGGACACGCTGCAAGGCTCGGATTCGCATAATACACATATCAGTACACTTTTAAAAGGCACTGCAAGCGAGGATATTGTAACCAACACTAATATAGCTCCAGCATCTGCACGTTTGCATGTACAGTAGCATATGATCCTCCAATGTTTCGGAAACGTAATGACGAGAGTGTTCTGACCGAGGAAGTTGGCGGACACTAACTTCCGCGCTTGTACAGTGTCCGATATGCCTGTAGTAAGACATACTTAACTAGTAAAGATGCAGGATGTTCATTTTGCAAGTTCTGGATCTAAATAACTATGGAACTGATGTAACAAACCAAAATTGATTTAGCAGTGATTCTACTCCTACTGCTCCTCCTTCCAGCAGTCGTCACACGCACATTTAAACCAGACTTTGACGCCGTAGTTTACTGTGATCTGGGTTCCCTCCCTGACAGCTTTCCTCATCACTACGAGGATCTTTACGTTGCTTCCATTCCGTATCTCGAGAAAATCAGCGTTCGGCTGGCAAGCGTGTGAGAGGAACCGCATCATCGAGCCACAGTGAAGCGCCTCAATGTACACGTACTTCTTTGCTGTAGACTTCGTATAGTACAGCATTGTATATCCACTGTTGTTCTTCTTCGCCACCTCCGGTTGACCTTCGACCTGTGCGTAGTCTCCGACGTGCGGAAACGATAGCCCTGGAGGAATCCGGCATTCGTTGATCTCATCTACTCCGTCCGGCCACTCCACTGCGGCTATAGGCGGCGGGATCGTCAGGGTTCTCTCCTCTTGCGCAGGATACTCCGGCCGTCTAGCATGTAGCGCTTTCAGTTGCTCTCGTACGAAAGGAAGACTCAAAAAGTCCTTGGTCTTCTTAGCCGTGATGTTGCTAGCATGGTACACATTCGCACCGGACCTGGTAATCGCACACTTCGCCATGTGCCTCTTTTTCCGCGAACGCGGAACATGCCACTGGGTCAATCTCTTCTTCGCCTGTGGCGAATTTTACTGCGGTCTAACCGGGTCGGAATGGCAGCCAGGTACTGCTGGGGGTCCAGCATCTCTTCTGGGCTCTCCACCGGCTGCGAGGTGTCTTCGGCAGGATCCTCACTCTCCAGACGTCCGCCTGTACGTGAGGGACTTGGTCGTAGGGCAATGCTGCGCTCCACCGTCACAGCCGAAGTGCTGGGCGGCGAAGCGGCGTTTACCACTGATTCCACAGAATCAGAATCAGATTCTGGAACCACTAAGTAAACCGTTATCTCCTCAGAAACTCGTCTTGGCATCTCTTCCTCGCTTGCACGTCCTTCCTCAACGTCTGTAAAGTCACTGGCACTTTTGCGCGGCGGCTGAAAACTCGAATCGCAGGTGCTGGAGCCTCCGACGTCTGGATCTTTAGGACGCGGCTCTTGCGGTAGCCTCTGGGGTCCCCAGCGACGAATCCTCGCGAATAGTACTGAATCAAGTCGCCGGCTCGAAGGGTCTCGTGCGGTAACTCGCTCCGCTGGAGGCCTACCATGCCGCTGGGGCTGGTGCTGGCGGGTGCTCGGCGACGGCTGTGCGCGACTGCTGGGCTCCGGATCGGAGTCCGATCCAACGGGCTGCAGATCAGCAGCTGCAGTCCGCTACATTCAGAAGACATTTGTTCACCGGACGAGCCCGACAAACTGGGGGCCTGTCTCTCTCGCTAGCAGATAGGCGAGAGTGCGGCGCGAGAACTGCTCGAGCAGTGCAGGCGTGGGCGGCGCTGCTAAGCGGTCCCGGCCATGGCGTTTTGTGGATTGTTTGCTGTGATTTTCAGGTCTGAGCATGTGTTCCTAACGTTTTCTTGTTTTTAAAGGGGGGATACCATGACTAGATTAATCAGGCGCAGGAAGCCAAGCACCTGAGACTGGGTGGTTCTCGTGAAGAAGCGCAACAACTCGTTTAACGTTCACTTTGATGCTATATCGACATTGGGGGGGGGCAAATATTCAGGAGATTACTAGGATTGTTTTACAGCACAATCTAAAGATTCCGGTTATTTTGTTTGGCTGCGTTCCTATTCGTAAACTTGGCCGATACGGTAATCTCAAAACGCTAAAGAGGGATGCTAATGGAAGGCGTGAAGGGCAAATTAGCGCTAGTACCCCTCGCAAATAATTTCCTAATACCCAAATATTAGTTTTGAATGACGCTAAAAATGATCGACACATATTATCTATTTGTCCAATGCTTGGGTCAGATATTAATACTGACTATTACTCTCTAATTACAAGGAATTACCGGAGCTGCAGGCTGACAATCTTCTCTCTTGAGCAACTGCTCGAAGGCAACGCGCAGTCGAGAAACTATCACTTTCACACTTCATTAATTTAAGCACCATAAACGCTCTGCAGCACCATAAACGCTCAGTAACAAAAACGTTACGGTAGCAGCACATTTAGATGTGACCTCTCTGCACGAGTGGCTACTCTATGCCTGTACACCAGGTTGAAGGTCAACTATAGCAAGCAATTAATGAGGGCGTCGTATGTGCGGGTCACACATAAAAATTAAGTCTATCCAAATTTTGTAGACCCATTACGTGAAATGAACGGCACTAAATTGGGTAAGCCACATTCACTACTTTTCCATGGGCGGAAATGCCATTTTGTCGAGTGAAGTGGGGGCTTTTGGTGAGGTGTCATAGATCGCTACGATGGCTACACGCTACCGATGGATTGGTGTAGTGTGCTAGAGGAGCGTACCAGCTTGGTCCGTGCGCATTGGCTTTGCGCTACACGCTTGTGAGGACGTGCAAAACATGTCCTCTGTTGAATGGTTCTTCACAAGCATGACAGTTTCTAGAACTCGTAATATTTCATATTATTCCGATATGAAGCAACGTAGTACGGGTGTGTTGTTCTGCGTACATCATGTAAGCGAGGGGATATTGAAGAAAATGCACCGCAATTTGTTTTTAATCGCAGCATATTTTGCCCAAAATTATTTCTTCTATATTGACTGCAAACAAGGGGTCGGACTTCTTGTCAAGGACCGGAATGGTTTCAGAACATTTCCTCGCATGAACGTGATAGAAAAAATAGATGTGGAAGGTGGTTAACAATGGCAAGATTTAGTAATTGCCTTTGCTGTTGATCTGGAGAGTGTCAAAAAGATGATATAATAAATGGTAGCAACTACTACAGTAAAAACAATCAATTTATAGTTTTGGCCAGGATCGATTCTGACCTCAGCTGATTGTGCCATGTCCCAGGGTGTGCTAATGATATTTTTGTGCTACGTAAGACGTGGATGTTAGTATATGAGCCTCCGGTATCAATACTTATTTGAACTTGGATCCTTTCCGTTTACAAACAAATGGTTTTTATTATTTATCTAACGGACAAATAACATGCTGGGATAAGTTAGTAGTTTTGACGTTATTCCTCTCTACCAGACGATCTATATAACAAGCGTGTCCATGCAGTTACGGTTTCGCTTTCAGCGTGTGCGTACACGCGCCCCCACAAGGAAATTCCACGAATGTGCATGCTTCTCACTAAAATTATGTTTTTATGTAGCTGTGAATTTGTATCAGCCTGGGCTGCAGTAAACACGACAAAGCATTCTGTCTGCTATTAATCCAACACTCCGAGCGCGAATGGATTGCGTTAAAAACCACCGAGATAACTTCAAAGCGATCATTTTCACGATTCTCACTCCTCCATTCCCATTCCGTAAGTTTCTGATATTCTTGCAAGTTCCTCAAGTGGCTAAGTCGTTAAGCTATTACCAACAAGGAAATTCTTTATAAAAGTACAATCGAGGAGAATCCAAAGCGGCACGTTTTTTCCTTTTAAATAACGAGCGTACATTATTATTTTCTACCGGTTTTCATTGTGTGCGTTATACAGTTCCCTTTAATGTGCGAACGCCGACCAATTTTGCCGTTTTAACTTAAATGTATTTAATAAGTCAGTCACATACAAACTTCCTGTTATTTTGAAGCTGCCCAGATCGTACTTAGGTCGATATGTATCGTGTGCTCTAAGTCAGGCCAATTCTATATCAGATTTGCGTTTTTGCGGGCACGTTTAATCAAAGAACCGAGCAGGGAAGTTTTGAGTTGAGAACACAATCCATGCTACCATTATATTACCATTTGTATTTCTCTTTAATACTTGATGCTATTATTGTGCATTTCAAAGATTTTGTCATTTTCACTTGGCCTGATGCTCTATTTATAATAATAGAGTTCGTTTTTAAGAGATAATAAATCGATCTAGCTAGACAGCTAATAAATTGAGCCACGGCAGCCAAAACGACCGCTCGGGATCGATAAACCATCGAATCCACGTCTATACCCTCTAAATCCGCCATTTTTTGTCGTTTTAAAAAGAAAATTTCAGATAAAACAAATCGATGCCTGCCTATTCCCAGCTTAGTTTTATGCCTGGGTTTATGCTCCGGCCATGCTTGATAGATACTATAAAACGTAGGGACATATAATTTGCAGAGCACAATAAATTAGACGGTAGTAAAAACGGACTTGCCTTTTCACTAGTGATAGGTCTGAAACATTATCAGTGTAATGATAGGAATTAAAAGGTAGTCATAAAGTAAAACAACATTCTATATAATAGATAATTTTGGCAAGACTCCACAACGAAGAAGAGAGTTCTCTGGATTTTAATCCAGAGTTGTTATGGCAGTCTGACTGGAGGTCTGAATTTTGAAATGATAGCACACGGAAACTTAATATTATATCACAATATACTGCAATCATTACAAGACGAAATGCGATGTCGCGTGTGCCTCAATACACATTAAAGGAGTGTTGGTCCATACTAGCGCAACATTCACTGGGTTCCCAGGCACTCATCTGTCACTATTCTAGTTTCGTTTTCTTCCCTTCCCCCAAGCTCCCACGAAACTATTAATTCACAGAGAATCAGGAACGAATGCACATTCTCGGACGAAACCACGGGATCCAGGAGGAAACTGATGAAGTCGCTGATCCACGGATGATTTTCCACCTGGTACAGTGCAAAACATTGGTTAGTTTAGCCATTTCAAGACACAAAATACAGCACACGTACCCGGAAGTCATCACTCTCAGCACAACCAACGAGCACAGTGGCGATAGCTTCAGTACGAAGACGCAGGAACTTGCCCCATTGAGATCCGTCTAGCATTGCAGGAAGCAGAGGCTCCATTAGTTCATTCGCTATTGGGTGGATATCCTCACGACGGGCTGCTGCAATTCGCGTAAGACCAGACACGATACGGTTCGCTGTCGACTTGGAATATCGATCCAGTTGATTGATAGCCTGACAGAGCGTCACGACAGCAAGTTGACGGCATGTTGCGTACTCTGCACTAGCTTCGGGAACTGTCGAGGCTCGTAAAACTTTACGCTACGCAGTACCGTGGAATTAATCCGTTGGGGCCGTCCATCCCTCATTCTATTCGGTATTCCCAGTATAAAAGTACACTAAATCCAGAGCTTCCCGTGCACCGCACGGCATTGTTAAACTATGCCCCGAGAAGGCCACTATTGGTCCTGAGTTTGCACCCGCGTCCGGACGGCCTGCAAATCGCAAGGATGCTCGCTACGCTCGCTTTAGGTGCCCTACTCGCTTTGTGCGGGGTCAAGTTTGGCCTTAACCCTTCGTTGTGGAGCATACCGATAAACCTAACCCTAGAGATGTCCTATGAGCAACCAAAATGATTAGACCCTCTCTATTCGCTGAATGTGCGGAGATATGTTCTGCAGGGAATAACACTTTGAAGGAGTTAAATCACTCTAAATAGAAGGTGTTATCACGCCTTATCATTGCGATTCGCAACGAATCTCGTCCGCCAATGATATACGATACATCTAGAGGATGGACTTAGAAGTCATGTAGCTTCGCGTGGCATAAAGCGCTGACTAGATTACGACTTTAAATAGAATGAATAGAATGTAATCGTCACGACGCTTTGATCATCAAATGGTGCTGCGAACCAGGCCTGATGTTTTGCAACTGCATGAGGCGGACAATTGCTAGCGGAAACGACCTAAGCTAGACGCATCAGGGTTAGTTCGGGGTCAAGATGCACGCTAACAGGGTTGTTCAATTACTTGATTATCACATTATTAGCGGAAAAAGCCTCGGACAAAACGTAAACAACTGTACTTAATACATATATATTCAAAATAAGACAGCCTTCAATCTGCGGCGGTCGAAGAGATGCTAGCGGATGACTCTTCAAGTAAGGTTTGATGTGCTCAAAACGAAAAAAAGCAATGCACTGTTTTGAGCTGTTGAGGACCGTCGCGCACTACCAGCCACTTGGCTAGCAAAAGGAGCCACCTTATCACGACGGCTTTACCCTTTCGAAGAAGAAGCTCGAGGCGTAGCTTGAAACCAATCTTTCGACTAGCCACGCGGTTGCTTGCGTCATTCAGTTGCTTAGATCTTCCCATATCCACAAGAACGAGCAGGTTTGCGAGTGACGCATGACCCGCACACCGACCGCATGCTTAGCGAGCATCTAATCGACTTTTGCGAAGGCCTTTCGCCAGCTGCCTACTGAGGAAGTGCTGCTGAGCAACGAGCCGCCCCCGAGAGCTACGTTGATGTGTCATCCTTGACACATCGCAACAGCCCGACATATGTGAAGTTTAGAAACAGCTACTCGCGTAAATTGGTGCCTCTCTTGGTGACTACGGTGACGTCGGCGATGAGGACACATATCGCGCGTGAACGTCCGAGTTCAATATTTGCTTCTACGGTTTGCATGAACATTTGCGTCAAGATTGTGCAGACCCTAGCCATGCTTTTGGTTGCTGACGTTGCCGGTGATCGGCAAGCAACCGGAGCTGCGCTCGGATCGGCCAACCTATATTGGGATCATGTGGCCATGTGCAAGCCCTCTTTCGGTGCTGCCTACTGGGGTTCATGGGATTGGTTTTCGTCATTTTGTTCGTCTGCGTTGAAGGTGGAAAACAGTAAAGGTGAAAAACATTCAGCTTGGACTGATGCTAAAGACGCACTTTACTCTGTGTGACTGTGCACCACGAAGGTGCCCGTTGCGTACGCCATTGGTTTCTTTCTCGTGCAGTACGGCTACACGGAAATAGCTTGCAGCTCTTTGATCTTGAAATGTTCGACGACACAGCGGCACAAGGAGACAGCTGCTAATCCCATGGAAATTAATTTAATTTTTTTTTCTTAGGATGAACATGGCGCCTACAACGACGGTATTAGCCTAATTAGCGACGACGCTGATCTGGCCTACAACGCCGTTCGCCATGTGAATTCATTAAATCTACCCTTCTTAATGAGCAAGTTCGGCCTTGAGTGGATGCTCGCTCTGTCCACCGTGGTATATATGCTATTTTTTGCCATGGATGAATATCATCACTTATCCGACCTCTCTTAAGGTTACTATCAGCATTAATGGCCAATCATATAATATTCAGTTTTGAATAACCAATCATATCCAAGTAATATGTCATTCTTGGCCAATCAATTCGTGAAGGGTTAGGTTGGTCATCTTAACCCCACATCGGTCCGATGGACACGGAAAATATGTGTATTCCCCTACAAATATTTAGATGGCGGCATATCACACATTTTTTTCATTTGTCCAACCAGCGCAATCCTTTCGATACATTCGACTAAATTAGCGCTATCTAAAATCTGTTAAGTAGCTGCAATTTGTAGAAAGCAATAAAGTCACCATTCTGGCGACACCAGCTTTACGGCGAGGGCTGCGGCAGAGTGGCGGATCGGATTTGTATTAATAAGTAATTCAATTAACACGTAGTACGTGTATTAATACATGCTCAGCCTCCGCGTACCAGTGCCAACCGCTAGTAGATACTACGTATTACGGAGCTGTACTTCAGTGCAGATTTCGTACAAGTACCGGTACATGAATTTATTACATTAATACTACAGTATTATACTGTACGTAAACAAGCACCCTCTGTCGCCCCACCTTGCCTTATCCTAACGCAGCGCCACCACAGCAGCATTCGGCTCCGAACGCTTATTCTCATCCTAGATGCAGCACTTCCGGATGGAGCGACGCCACGCTGCTCCGCGCGCAATCTTCTTGCTCTTGGGAGTCGCATCCTCCTCCTCCACGATGACATCTTCTCCTAATCCATTGCCACCTCCATCGCCTTGGTCCTCTCCGCTCCCAGTGTCATGATCTCCTCCACGGTCACGCTCTATACGGAGCTCAACGACGCTCTGCAGCGCAAAAGCGCGGCTCCCAGCAAGCGATGCAACTGTCTCAGCGACATCGATCTCGGTATCGAACCCATTTCGTTCACGAACACCGTCGTGCACAGCTACTCGGACAAACCCAGGTCGCGACGCCGCCACAAGATCGCCAGCAAAACACATCGCATGCTATCGCAATCCGCGTGTCGAGGCCACCACCACCACATAACCACGCAATACACTTTAAAAAAGGCGACTGGGTACACTGGCAGCAAGCTTGCTGCAGACCCGTCATCCAACCTCTTTGACTCCAGCGGCAGCATATCCTCACTCGACACGCTCGCCACACTCGTCCAACCCTGACCCGCCCATTAACATGCTAATGTCCCGACCATGAGCTTCCACACCAATGCACCAGAGCGCCGTCCACACCGCAGCTCTGTCGAGCAACGCGCCGAACACGTCCATCTTGGTCATCGTCACAGCGCCGCGTCGCCCTCCAAGATCTTCACCACCGTCCACTCGCTTTTACCATCGCTGCTGTCTCCGCTGCTGGTCACCCGCCATCCCTCCACTGCCGCCGCCGTCACCATACTTGGTCACCGCCACCCTTTCGCCCGCCACCCTTGCGCCCGTCTCCATGCTCGCTCGCCGCCGTCTTCACTTTTGCGCCGCACCCACCGCCATCCGTCTGCACGCTGGACTCTTTTTTGGTAAGGTAAGCCTTTGTGGCCCACAACAGCTAAACTTTTACTTGTTTTGAAACATATTGTTTTTATGTACCATTCATTTGGTACAGGTACGATAAGATCATCCGGTCCGATAAATTTTGGTATGGCTTCGGTGACGGTACGGAGCTCGCCGCTACGGATTTCGAAGTTTGTTTATCCGTCACAGCGCCACGAGATGGGCTGCGATCTAGAGATCAGAGCTTGAATCTCGGCCAATTGCGTCGGTCAGTCAACGTTTCTATTTGCACCGCACTTCGCTTAGCTACGAGCTGCCGATAGGATATATTTGCTGAACAGGGTATGTCGAACTCTTAACGGCGCGACGTTATTTGTGCCACCTACATACAGGTAGCTGTTAATCTGCGGTGGCGATTTCTAAACGGGGTACTTCGGACTATTGTAGCTTAAAGTGGTATTGTGTTTGATGCGAGTGTGGACTTGACGAGCCGATTTGAGTGTGATTTTATTGCGAAACCGGTTTGACCGCCCTTGAAAGGGTGTTTGGACAAAGTGAATTTCTTGTCGACACACTGGCGTACATAGTATTTATCAAACTTGTGGTTAAGGCTTTGTCCTGCCATGCCGATGGCAAAAATATTGTTAAACACTACGCACTGGGCTGTCAGCTTTTACGTTTTGGTGATGTGCGCTGCGGGGCATCACGCGGTAGTAATTGCGAGGTAGCTTGAAGACATCTGGGTTGAAGTGACGGACAGAGATTGGGACGTTGGCGCGATTGTGACAGACAACGCTGGCCTGATATTTGTTTCTTGCGCTACGTAGCCCATTATGTCAATAACCTCGTCAAAGTAATGCTGAAACGAATTTAAACTTGATGCTAAGCAATTCGCAGCAGCAGCAATAGTGAGGCTTTTTGAATCCAACCTCTGAAACGAGGCTTGTTCGTGCAAAAAAAGAAATTATTGCGCGTTACGGGAAAACATCAGCTCCTACCCTCTTTTCGTTTTGCCTTATTCGATGGAA